GGTATATATCTTATTCGTATTGTGAAAGTGCTCACCACTATGATCATTGCCCAGGAATTCGAACGTCCGTGTTTTGTTTGGGAAATCCGCAAGGGAATATAAACAACTCTTAATCAAACACGTATAACTATGGATTGAGGCAACACCCCAATTTCGAAATCAAAGTATATAACCACTTTTCAGGACCATCCAATGCTTTATTATGGTCATTGGGATTCCATGGACCCTATGCTCCTCATCTTACTTCATAACTTGTTTGTTGCTGTTTAATCTACTCTTTATTGTTAAGTGTGCCTAATCACGAGAAATAACGAGTCTTGATTACCTTGTTGAGGAAAATTTTGTGTAAACTATTTTCGTCTTATTTTTGCGAAATTTTTACATATTTTCTTATGCTTTTTTTTGTTGATTTTAAATATAATTTTTGTTTCTTCATTTGAATTTTGCAGGATCGAGCTTTTGGTTACTTCAAATTTGCGTCAGGTGCAATTTAAGGAAAAAAAAAAGATTTTCGAGATTTCAATCAAAGATTTTGGTGGGCTTATTTTGGGTTATGTTTAAATGGGCTTTGAGATATTTGAAAACATAAAGGCCCCATTGTTAAAACCGTAGGGTGTTTTAAATGAAAAACATAAAGAAAAGCCCTAGTCTTCTCCCTCGTTTGCGTTTTTCATCTCTCAAAATCCCCCAACTCGTTTTCAAATCTATCTCATCAAATCTTCCAGAATCTAAAAAATCTCTTACACCCCTCGCATTTTCAACTAAGTTGGGTTAGGGTTGACGAAGATTTTCGTTCTTTTTTTTAGCAAAGTTTCAAGATTCCATGGAAGACTCCTCCTCCTTCATGCCATGTGACAAAGGGAAGGGAAAGAGGAAGGTGATGCTACCACCACCTACTCCTCCTCCAGGTTTGATTTCTCTTGAACCCCCTCTTATCTCCAATGAAAGGATAGTTTTTTATTCTACGGTGCAAAGAAAGAAACTAGAGGAAGCTTTTGAGAATGTACCCTAGAAAGAACCTATCAATAAGTATTGAAAGTTCTGAAAAAAATGACTTTAGAAACTCATGTTGCTAGGGTTAATGAAGGAGGCCATAATGAAAATAAATTAGAAGAGTTTAGCAAGATCTACCTTAGAAAAAATCAATATGTGGGTGATAAAGGTTTTCATTTAGAAAAAAAAATTGCTACGATTAATGAAATAAGTGATATTAAAAATAAGAAAAAGGAGATGAGGATTAAGGAGAATGAGAATACTTGTGTCAAGATAGAGGACTAAATGAAAAATGGCAAAAATTTATGGACAATTCAATAAAATTGAGTGGAGAAATTCAAATAGCATAAGATGATATGACCAATTGCCATAAGTTGGATTTCCCTCAAAACAACCCCGTATCCGAACTTTAGAGTTGTCTATCCCTCCCCACCTTCCAATACTATTGCTATGTACGTAGAAGACCAATAACAGGTTAGTGGTGATTCGGAGCACAACACAAAGCCATTGGAGCATTCCAATTCGGCCACAGTCGATATTCACTACGAAATTGTGCTTGGTGCAATTTTGGAAAGCACTCCACCGACCACTCTACAAGATATTTCGTCTCCAAATTTTCCATATCTTATTTTGACTAAAAAGGCTTTAGTATTTTATGATTTATAACAGGAAAATACGACATAAAAAATCGCCGAAATTTGGTTGGCCTTGAATGAAGAATTGGGAAAGATCCATTAGAGGATGATGGAAACAGTAGGGAAGCTCAAGATATATTGAATTTTGATGGAGAAGACGACAATCTTGGAGATTTACCTTTAAATGTCAATGGAGAAGAATGTGAGGAAGAAGAAGGAAACGACGTTATCTTTCAATTTGATGTGCCAATATGTACTTCAGTGCATGAGTCACAACAAGATAAGGAGGAGACCCCTGTTCAAGTACAAGAAGGAGCATCCGACCCTGTGGACGTCCCAAATGAGACAACAGAGGAATCATCTTCCTCTTCTTCGAAAGGTATGACCCCTTTTTTTAGTATGAATGTTTCTGACCCAAATTTCATTGTTGCTGCAGAAAACTTAGAGGAAGAAGTTTGTTTGGCCGAAGTGGTGAAGAAAGCAAATAAAAAGAAAACTCCAGCCCAAATTGCGCCTGGCGCAATTTCGGGACTGCGCACTCGAGCCGTTGTAGTGCGTTTGTCGCCAAAAAAGAAGCTAAGGATGGTCTATAAAAAAAGCCAAGAGGCCTAGGGCGCTTGGAGAGGCAGAAGAGCATCTTGAAGAGCCTAATAAAAAGGAGCCCGCTAATACTCAGCTACAACCATCAAAAGCCAAAAGGGTGAGGTTGGAAGTGAAAAAGCCCGACTTCACGACCCATGGTATCTTGGTTGAAAAGAGTTTTGATGATGAGTAAGAGCTCCTGCCAGAATATGTCAAGCGAAAGATTGTAGAGAATGGTTAGGAGACGTTGTTTGCACCACCTACGTGTGTATAAGAAACCTTTGTGAAAGAATTTTTTGCTTCCATCCACCCAAACCAACGAGATACTGTGTAAGTAAGATGTAAAGTGGTAAGCTTTTCTCCTTCAGTTAATAACACTTACTATGGGTTGTCAGCTGTGTTTGATGCAGTAGATAATGAAGTATTGGTGCATCCGACGGACGAACAATCAGAGGAGGCACGTAAGCTCATCTGTAGGCCACACGTGGTCAGTCTCTACAACGGGGAAGCTTTCCTTAAAATCCCTGGCTATCAATGAGCAAGGCACGATCTGGACGTATATGGTGAAGAATCGATTAATCCCCACTTCTCATGATGCATCCATCAATCGCAGTACGGTGATGATGGTCTACATTTTGATGAAGGGCATTGAATTCAACATTAGTGAACTCATAAGGGGAACAAGACTCGGTTGKGCGCCGAGAAAATGGTAGGTCCACTTATTTTTCCTGCGCTTATAACATAATTACGTTTGAAAGAAGGTGTGAAGTCGATGTTGAAGATATGGTGATGCCCAAGAAGCCGACCACATCCATAAGGATAGTTTGGGGATACTCAATCGTTCGTGAGAAAGATTCTCCCACTGCCGATGTGGATCCCGAGACCCGAGATCTGGTTACTAGAGAACAATACGACGAGTTGAGGCACAAATATGATCTGCTCTTGGCGACTCAACACGCCACGTGTGAGTTTCTCAAGGAGCTTTATGGAGATGGTGCACCTTCTCTTCCCGATGAGCTCAAGGCCAACTTGCCTTCTTCTTCACGGCCTACCGGCGACGATTCTTCAGACGATGATTAGGAGAGTATATCTATCTCTTTGCTTTGACACTGGATGTTTTGGATCTTGATCTTGTTTGTTTGTTTGCTTTTTGTGCTTTTAGTTTGATAGATTGTTTAGGTTAGTTTTGGTTTTAGGATAGTTTTATTGGGATGTTGTGCGGTTAATAAGGAATATTAGTTGTGCTTCTGCATATTGTTTTAAGTTCAAACTTTGCATGCTATCTTGTTTTAGCTACAAGTTTGTCCTTAGCCTTTTCAGTGAAATCTTTTCTAAAATGAACTTCTTAAGACGAATATGATTCATTTACTTAGAATCTTTGGATTGTTGCTCATTCGTCTTTCTTGCATGTTGATTGTAACGCCTGCGTTCCCTGATTAATTTATTATAAGATTTAGATTGTGACCTTGGACTTCTCCCATTTGGATAAATTAAATTTTTGGATTTTCTACTTTCCGCGTTATAATTTTGGGTAAATTAGAACTTAAAGTTTAATTTATTTATACTAAAATGAACTAAGTTTTCAAAATTTGATAGAGACTTTTATTTAAATCTTAATTCAAAGTTTTGGAAATTTAATTTTCTCTTCTAGATTGTATTCTTGGTTTTCAAATTAAGTTAATCTCTTAAATAAATTTTCAAAACCTTTTTAAAATGAGTTTTTCTTTTGGGTTAGGAAAATGACCTTTATTTTTAGAGCCAATAAACAAATTATTTTTTAATTTTATTTTGGGTTATTTTATTTGGTAAAAAGAAAAAGAAAACAAAAGGAAAACAAAAAGAAAACAAAAAAAAGGTAAGCCCTAGTCCACTTCTTACTCTTTCTCCCTCCTCTCTTTCTTGTAGGAGGCGCCCAACACCACTTCCACCCTCTATTTTCCGGTGGCTCCCAACCCACTCGTGACAACCTCGGACCTTCGGCGGCAGCACAAAATGTTATTGGAGCGAGCATAAGCAACGTTGCATTCTAGCGGCGTCGATAGCGGCGTCGATAGCGGTGCAACCCGAGAACCAGCGACGTTTTCTTCAAATTCTACCGTGCGGTGGCCGTTTTCTGCGATAGCGACATGTTCTCCAGGAAGTTGCGAGCAGATCCGAAAAGTTTTGCTTCAAATGTGAGAATCCGTAGAGGCACAGTGGTCAGACCTGCAACGAACGATGAGTCACGGCGTTCCTCCTTCCTCCACAGCAGCGTAGTAGAGGCGGTGGCTCCTTCATGTTTCTACACCAGATCTGGCATTTTGGTGACGTTCTCTAGCTATTACAACCTCGAACAGCTCTGTTCCAGGTTTCGTGATGCTTTTTGACCTTCCAGCGGCGTCGGCGCTTACCCTCATCCATTTTAAGTCGATTTGCCTGATATGTTCGAGGTCGTCTGGATAAATTAAATTTTTAGATTTTCTAGTTTCCAAGATATAATTTTGGGTAAATTATAACTTTATTTAATTAGACTAAAATGAACAAAGTCTTCAAAATTTGAAGGACAGTTTTATTTAAATCTTCATTCAAAGTCTTGAAAATTTAATTTTTGGTTATAGATTGTATTCTTGGTTTTAAAATTAAGTTAATCTCTTAAATAAATTTTCCAAACTTTTTTAAAATGGATTTTTGTTTTTGGAACAGATTAGGAAAAACACATTTATTTTTAGAGTCATAAACAAATTATTTTGTAATTTTATTTTTGGTTATTTTATTTCGTAAAAAGAAAAAAGAAAACAAAAGGAAAATAAAAAGAAAACAAAAAAAGGAAAGCCCTAGTCCACTTCTTAATCTTTCTCCCTCTCTTGTAGTAGCCTCTCTTGTAGTAGCCGCCCAACAATACTTCCACAGGTTTACTGGCGGCTCCCAACCCACTCCCAACGACCTTGGACCTTCGGCAGGAGCACGAAATGTGAAGAGCGCGAGCATTACCAATGTGTTATTCCAATGGCACCAATAAGCGGTGCAACCGAGAACCAGCGACGTTTTCTTCCAATTCTGGCCTGCGGTGGCTGTTTTCTACGATAGTGACCTGTTCTCCAGTAAGTTGCGAGCAAATCCAACAAGTTTTGCTTCAAATGTGACATACCCGTAGAGGCACAGCGGCCGGACCTGCGACCAATGACGATTCACAGCGTTCCTCCTCCCTCCACAACGTAACAGAGGTGGTGGATCTTTTATGTTTCTGCAACAGATCTGGCATTTTGGCAACATTCCCCAACTATGACGACTTCGAACAGCTCTGTTCCACGAAGCCGAGTGGTTTTCATGACATTTTCTGGCCTTTCAGCGATGTTCGACGCTTTCCCATATACATTCTAAGCCGATTTGTGATACCCACCCCCTTCATCATTGATTCGGCTTTGAGCCACCTCTTTTTAGACTCAAACTAGCGTTACCCATCGCTTTTCGACATTGGACTAGTAAGCCTAAGGCCATTTGAACTCGAATTTGGGAGCATGAACCTCATCAGCGTCAACCCACTCTTAACCCAAGTGGTTTTAGTGTGAGTTAGTAGGTAACGACTCACCTAAAATTAGTTTCGATTCGAATAAGGTGTTTTTTTGTTGGTTTCTAACAAAGTTTGGTTGTTTTTGGATTTAGAAACCCTTCGGTGAACTTAGTTGCGCGTTAGGACTTTATTTGAAAGTAGTTTCTTACTTGAGGGGATTGGTTGTTGTATGCTGGTATGAACTAGTTATTTGCTTGTGTGCCTATGTGTGATATTTGCATAATTGCTTTTGTTGTTATCATTTAGTAAACGCCATCGCTGATATAATTGTTGACATATCCTATAAATACACGTGGTTGTGTGAATAAATTGTAAACACGTAATCCTGGATGGCTATGTTGGATTTGTTGTTATATTTTTATTGGGTTGCGTGATGAAAATTGTGCTAGTTGTTCTCGTACTATAATTTTTTATTTTGGAAGCATACTGAATATTTGTGAGAAACTTGTTGTGTTGAGGTATGCTGGGTATTGTTGAATATATATTGATTAAGTTGTTAGTTGTGCCTTTTTTGTGAACTATACATAGTTGTTGTTGGATTATGTTGTCCTATTTTAAGTTAATTGGTATGTACGTATGTTTTATGTATATCGCATACTAGAATGTTATGAGATGATTGATGCATGGGTCATGGCTTAGTAGCACGTAGATTGTGGTGAGAGCATAAGCTCTGTTATGAATTGAATGGGTGAATATCAGCCCTAGGGGGCTGATACGTCACTAGTTGAGTATCCAGGCTCCGGGTACAAAGGTCGGAGTGGACGCGCCAATTTTGGATAAAGATGACTGTCGATGCCTTAGCTATGCATGGTGACGGTTGTGCCTCTTTTTTCTCTCCAGATTTTGTAGGTAATGGGATTGCTCTCGGGAATGGTGATGGCAGAGAGGAGACTTGATCAAAAAGACCATTAGCTACATTGCTTGCATTTAATTTCATTTAGTTATGATAGTTTCAGTTATTACATCTTCTAGTTGAGATGGTAGTAGTTGGTTCTGTTTAGTTTTCTTGTTTAAAGGATGTTTTAAGTGTAACGCCCCGCGTTCCTTAGCTTGTTTGTTTTAAGACTTAATTTGGGTGCTTTGATTTTTTCCTTAAGCTGATATTTAATTTCTTGTATTTTCTAATTTTTGAGTTCTAATTTTGGGTAAAATTAGAATTTAGTTTAATTTCGTTGGATTAAGATAAATTTCGTTTTCAAACATTGGACGAGATTTTTAATTAAATCTTAAACCTAAGGTTTTTTTTGGAAATTTAAACCTGTGGCTATCTTTATCGTTGGATTAAGATAAATTACGTTTTCAACCTATGGGTCTTCTTCTCTGGTGAAGTAGTAGCGGTAACCGACTACAGCTCCCTAGATAGCAGCAACGTCGATCCACGAAGGCCGATCTCTGGCAGCTCTTCCTCAATGATGTCGTGTTATGAGATCAACGGTA